AGAGTGCTCTGTGCCATTGGGTAGCCAGTCTGTATTTGTCTGCAGTGTGTGTTTCTTCTTGAGCAAGGACTCGCTGGTTTACAGTTGTCTTTTCTTGCCTGCCTTAAATCTCAGATTTATGTTTATTCCCTCACACGGCCTTTATTTGTGCTCTTGCTTTTCCCTTTCTTTTTCATCCTCAGCCACGTCTTTTTGCATTCCTATTCTTTCCCTGCGATGACCCACATTGATGCAGCAAAATATCCTTTCGTTTTCTCTGCTCCGTCCCTCCTTCAGTTCCTTTTCGTATCGTAAGTATCTCTGAGTGCGTGAGAGAGTGAGAGATACAAGAAGCGAGACAAAGGGAAGGAGAGCCTGAAACACAGGCACAGGGGGGTACAGCTCAGAGATAACAATGTCAAAGACAGAGATCTCATATCAAGCAGAGCAGGTCTGATGCACAGCATGGAAAAAAGGGAGAATTAAAAGGATGGTTTTTTCTCTCACGAGCAGTTGCAGTAGACGTTCTCTCTGAACAAAGAGCGTTTGTGTATGCGTGTACCACTTGTGTTTTACCGTGCTCTTCAATTTTAGATCAATCCCTTTCTATTTTAAACATTTTCTGAAAGCTTTTAAGCTTCACTTTCATTTAACTGTAAACCAGTAGGAGGAGTTGGGACTTTAAATGTATATTTGATTTGAAGGTTTTAAACCAGTACAGTGGTAAATGCAGAGCTCTTGTGCTGACCCCATAAGGTACAGATACCTTTATCTGAAGATTCTACAGCTGCAAATGTTTCTTTGTGACTCTGCTGTGACTTTGTTTTTAGAATAAGCATTGTCTCCTGGAAGCCGGAATAAGCTGCACAAAGGATTTAATCAAAGCCAAGATATATCCCATTGTTCTTTTTATCAGAGTCTCAGAGAAGAACATCAAGAGGTTCAGGTAAAATAGCAAACCTTTTGCGCATTTGCTATTCTGTCTTATTCAGCCCGTAATTCTTGAGCCGAATAATGTTATCGCTGAGGGGAACACAGGCCCTGTTTCCCTTGGCCTGGTGTCTGCGTCTGCATCATTTCCTTCAGCAGCTCCTCCCTGAAATCTTACAATGGGAGAAAGGAGGAATTCCCTACACTTTGCATTCTTTCCCTATCCCTGGTAGCAGTGAGCACTGTGGGGAGGGTGAAGCCTCAGCATGTGTTTTTCTCTATGTTTAGTAATCCCTCAGCATTTCTTCAGGTAATGCTGCTGTAAGAGGGAAGTTCATAAACGCTTGCACTCTCTCTACATTCAGTCCTCTCAAATTGTTTCCCCATAGCAAATATTTTTCCTTGGGGGTGAGATGGAGGTAGTGGAGGGGATAGATGTGGCGTAGCTATATTCTTGCTTGCATATAGTTTTATTGCTTGTATATAATCAGTAGAAAATAAATTCTTGATGGGACAACTGGGAGTACAGGATTCACTTCTACTGTGAGATGTTTATTTTCGGTCTGCTCATTTGGTACAGGAAGTTATTGCCAAAGCCAGAAGCTGAAGATGAGTTTTTACGTATGTGCCGTCTGAAGGAGAAGGAGCTGGAAGAGCTGCCGTGTCTTTATGCCTCTGTAGAGGCAGATGCATGGAGTAGTATTGAAGACCTTATCAGAACAATAAAGGACAAGATTGGAGAAGAGCAGCGTAAAACCATCTGGATAGATGAAGATCAGCTCTAAAACCAGTGTGTGAAATGGGGCTCTTTGATGACAAGAGGATGTTCCCAGGTGGAGCAGGGGCGCACAGAGTTCTCTGATTTGGTGCCCGGCGCTCACTCCTGTCTCATCCCTGCTGACTGGAGACTTGCTGGTGGCAGAGCCCACGTATGGAATGGAACTGGAGCTGTGCTGGATAGCCCATGATTCAGGTGCCGGGGATCTCGGATGTGGATCAGACCACCACGGCTTCTGACACGCCAGCATCTCTTAATGGACAGCAGCTGTTTATTGAGTGGGAAGGACAAAGATCTTGAGAGGGATCTTGGGGTAATTTATTATGTGAAAATATGGATCACAATTGGCTTTTCACGCACTTCTGATGAGACCAGACAACTGGAATCTAGGAGAAATAAAGTGTGAGGATTGGGCTAAAGGAAATGAAATTGAGGTGTGTCTTACATCCATCTGGAGGTGAGATTCCAGATTCACTGCAGTAGGGAAACTGAAGGCTGTTTGGAAGCAACAGGAACACTACTGCTAACTGTCATAGCAGTTCTACAGCCTTGTTTTTCCATTACCATTTTGATCAGAAAGGAGGTAAATAACTATTATTCCTGGCTTTAAATAAAATGTAAAGGTATCACTGGTGTCTTCTCCAAACAAGTTTCTCTATTTCTTTTTCTCCCCTGAAGTCTGTATTTCTCTACAACTTCATTGCCAGCCAACGTATCTGCACTCAACAGGAGGGACTGTTCTGCAGAGAGGAAAAGGAGAGCTTCATAAGGCAGTAATCGCTGGGAGCCGCTCCATCCTTGACCTCTCTGCTGTGATTGACAGCACTGGGACCAGCGAGTGCTGCTCTGTGCTGTGGCCAAGCAGGGTAACATTTTCAGAAGCCTGTATGTGACTCAGAAGACCACATCCCATTTTCAAAAGCAGTCAACCCCTCAGAGAGTTGAAGTTCCACTGATAATGAGTGGGACTGAGACTCCTAAGTCTCTTAGGGCTTTTAACATTTTTCCTCTATACATTAGCTACTGTATTGAGACTGCCAAATTGATTCAATAAAACCGATCAGATAATTATGACTTGCAGAACTGCTGATCTGAAAGGCAGTAAGAACTGACCTGCAGAAGAGGAATACATCCCATTATCCTTGGGTCTTTCTTTCTCTGCTGTATCCCTCCATTTTAAGACACGTTTAGTAACTAATTTATCTTTGCTTCTTTGTTCATCCCACATCCTCTGTCTCAGTGCTTCAGAAGGGCATGCAGCAGCTTGCAATAGCAGGGCAAGCAGAATCCAAGCAGAACATCTGGCCTGGCTGCCCTCACTGCACTGACTGCTGCACTGTCCTTGTGAGGAGCTCCTGATGCTCAGGGTGTCTCTCAAGTAGACTGGGTCAGTTTGTGTTGGCTTGCATGATGGTGCTTTTCTACTCATGTTTATGCATATCATTTTTTAACTAATGGTATCTTCTAGAAGTCATTAATGTCAGTTTACATCTGACTTCTTTTCGCTGCTCTTTCTCTCATCTTATTCATGTTTGAAAGGCTGTTCATAGCACTTGTCAGAGAATGGCTCTTTACCTTCCCAATGCCATCTGTTTGGACTGTGCAAGCAGGGAGATGCTCCTACTTTGCAGTCTCTTTACAAAGAACAGTCTGCATCCACCATTCCCAGCTCTTGCCAGGGCAAAGAATAACAACTGATTGGGGAATACATAAAACAAATTGGATGATGCTTCAGAGAGCCTCTGTAGCCCAGCAAGAAAGCAGAAAGCATTGGCTAGAAAAGCTAAACCTTCCAGGAGTATCTTGCAGACATCCAGACAGCTGGGCAAATGGAGGGACTGTGAGGACATTCCTCAGCTGCTTCACCAAAAGGTTTGGTCAGGTCAGCTTCAGAACCTGAGGAAGCAATAACACCTGGAAGATTGGCTGGAACAGGTGGGGAGCAGGAAGGAAAGGATGAAGGGTCTCCAATTGGCTGTTTCTGTAGTGGTCTCTCACTATTGCTTTAACTCTGGACCCCTGTACAGGGAGAACAGCTGTGGATGTGATTTGTCTCACTTAAATTGAGGCACGGAAAAGGTAGATGCCACAATCTAAAGGATGTTTCTTTTGCAATGAATTGAGATACACCTCCAAAGAGGTATTTTTCTAACTTCTTATAGATGGCTATCTAAGGATGAGATGATTGTCCTCTGTGTCTTTCCATGGACCACAGAAGGAAACTAGACCTGGCCCTTAGCAGTTAGCTTTTTGATTTGTATTTTGAGACACCTAAAGATACACTAGAGATGGCGGCAGAGAACAATCATAGACCTAATTATTTCTGTAAGATGAAAGGGGTGAATACATGGAATGCATTTATCTTTACAGTATCAGAGCAAATGTCCTGTAAATTCCCAGTTCTGCAGGTACTGTGGCTGTCTGTGCATTTGATGCAAAGCAACCAGACTGTTAGGTGAAGTTCACTGGCAGAGCTGTATGCTGGCCCTGCAGCATCCTCATCTCTCTTTGGCTCAGTGGAGAAGCACCGTATTCCCTCTTGATTTGTGGGTGTGATCTCAGAAAGCAAAACAGGAACAGCAGGAACACATTCCCTGAAGTAAAACAGAGTGATGGGGCTGTTATCATTCAGACTAGCTGAAGGGTGGCTTCTGATCTAGCTCCAAATGCTGTTCATCTAAACCTGCAGAAATTAACCTCTGTATCTTTAGAAATGTATTCAAAAGTACCAGCCTGAAAGGAGGCCCTGCATTTCCCCCAAATGGTGGAGTAGTGAGGTCAGCATGAACCCCAAATCCTGAAGCCACAGAGCTGAAATGCAAACTTGAAGTTTGCGCTGTGGATTGTTTCAGTGATTCAGCTAAGTCTGGCTTACAAGGTATTACTTTAATCTACCAACGATTTCCTTGCATGTACATGTAATAATACACGTCATCCTGAGTTCCTGGTCGTGCATACGGCTGCTCAGGTGTGTGCACAGCCACTTTATCAGTCAGGCTTCAGTGGTGGTAACTCTGTTGAAAAGCTGGAAGCAATGATTAGGAAAAGGCAGTAGAAACTGGAAATGCTGTTTGCTGCAAACAGTGTCCCAGCTGAGTCCAGGCCAGACTGGGCCTGAGCTCATTGAAGGGTAAGGATACGGCTGTTTTTCCACCTGGTCCTCTGGTATTTCTGCATTGCTGGCCAAGATTGGTGGTCAGCACCCGGGCATGCAGCCATGGCTGTAATTCACAGATGTTATCTGAGTCCAATGGAATCAAGGGGCAGAGCCAGGTTTGAACTGGATGCCGTGGCTGAACATCACAGCTGACATCAGCCACCCAAAAGAGACCGTGTGGATCCAGTTCTGTTCATCCATCTGAGGTAAGCAGAATTGACATCAGCCCATTTTAAAGCAAACCACTCCAAGATTCTAAATCAAGTTTAGGAACACTTCTCCCCAATCCGTATTTTATGCTATACAAGGATTTATCAGAAAGTTAGGGCAATTGCTCTGTATTTGGTATGCTGCTTTTTTCTGTTTAAAAAAAAAAAAAACAACTCTGCTCTGAAGCATAGAATAATAGCCTTTCAACATGTATTATTGGAAAACTACTTCTTCTTTGCTTTACGAAGTCACGAGAACTTGCTGAAAGTTTTTCAGATGTGGTTTGTTCTTTGGAAAATGTCATTGAAAAATTGGTTTCTAGAAAATGCAACCAGAAGTATTTCAGTGGAATATTCTGTTAGGAAATGTGTTTTCATCCATATCATTTTCTATGGAAAATTTTCCATTCTGACACTTCATTTTAAGAAGGTCAAAGCTGTTAAATAATAGTAATAGTAATAGTAATAGTAATAGTAATAGTAATAGTAATAGTAATAGTAGTTCTTTTCAGTATTTCACATACTTCTAATCCCTTATCTAGATGTATATTTTTAATTTTGTATAGTTTACGTATTTCTAAATTCTACATTTAAACATTTAATTTGATTGAAATGCTTTTTGAAAAAAGCTTTGTTTTTGATGTTTGTATCCCACAGAAGAAAAACAGAAGCAATGGCTTATAGCTATCAGATGTGGTATAATGCAAGAAAAGGTGACCGAATTGGGCTTTACATTCTGCTCAATTCTGCTGCTAAAATGATGGATTATCACAGTCAGTCTCATGCAGTTCACCACATTTGGGAACTGTTACAGGTAAAAATTTCATGCAAACTTTATTACACAGAATTTGCTATTCCTTTGAATCCGAATTCCGGCTGGAGGCGAAGCTGTCGGTGGCTCTGTCTGCAGCAGGCAGTTCTGCATGATGTGCAGGGCAGGAACACACATAAAGCAGACCATTGTGTGTGAGCTTTAAGTGGAGATAGTTGCCAAAGCTGGAAAAATGCCTGGAAACTCGTTAGAGGTATCTGTATTCTTTTATGCCAAGCTATTTTCATGGCCTACGGTTGGAAAACTCTGCCGCAAGGATAACATTGGGCAGTATGCAGGTAGCTTCAGGGCTCCAGAGCTGCCGGGGACTGCGATGCTCCTCGTGGTCACTAAAGCTGTGAAAGTAAAGCAGCGGTTGCTGAGCTGTGTCCTGGAGATTGACAAGTAAGGCACAGTCAGGGATTTGAGGTTTCTGGGAGAGCAACATCCTAGGATTTTGCAATTGTTTGAATCGAATGCTCTGAATCAATCAGCATTAATCAGCTCGTGCTGTGAAGCCTACCAAACGTGTTCCCTCTTGGTGTAGTTACTATCTCCCTTGCTCTCGTTCGAGAACTGAATAATACAGCACTGTTTTGTGCTGTCTGCCATTAAAGGCGCACGGGATTTCAAGCCAGAGTTACGTGATTCCTTTCCTACCAGTTACTTTGCCTTCCCTGCATCTGCCTTGCTCAGCTTCCAGCATTCCCACCTGCTCCGTGCTGTGCAGTGCATGGGCTGTTTGCAGCACACTTGGTTTGCAGAAGCTCCATCAGAGCACCACCCTGTGCCCTCTGCTGAACGTGTAAATCAAAACTGCAATTCAAGAAAAACCTTCTGCCTTATCAGATTTGTCTGCAGCAGAAAAAGGAGGCTCATGTGGGTCAAGGCAGTGTGCCTTCTGATGTGGGAGAGCTGGTATCAGCACAGCCCTGGGCTGGAGCTCCAGACCCACACTGACAGCATTGAGCACTGCCCACACAGCCATGAGAAATTGTTCTGTCTGACACTTCCCTGAATGGAAAACCTAATTCAGCCAATGCAGTGCTGAGACTGTGACAGGAAATTTCCTCCCCGATCTTTCAGAGACCACAGAAGTCTGCTGCATTCCCAGAAATGGCATTTCAGATTTCTGCAAAGCTCTGGAGCCCTTCCTGATCCACACAGCCCTATCCAGTGACAAATCTGTGCCACTCACATGGACTTTCCCCTGAGTCTTTCCAGTGCGCGTTTGCTTTTGTGCCTCTGAAAACAGAAAACCTCCCATCCTGGTTTCCATCTCCCATCCGTAATGCAGGTCTGGTGTTGCCTCCACGACCTGACTGCTGTACACAGTGTGATTTATAGCTCAGTTTGAGAACCCTATCAGGAACCAAGCTCAGAACAACAGGAAGCTCTTCCACCCTCCTTCCCCCGCCTCCTTTTTTCTGTTCCTCTGCTGCAGAAACTTTCTGATGCTCAGATCATAGTCACTCCGAGGTTAACTGCCCCATTCGTCACTGGAAAAAAAAAAAGAAAAAAAAAAGAAAAGAAAAAAGAAAGAGACCCTTTAAAAGCAGATGGTGGGTGATAGGGAACCTGTCTGAGAGTAAATATCTACAACAGCATGTCTGCTTCATCAGATATTAGCATCAAAAGCCATCTGACAATTTAGCAACAAACAGCAATATTGATTTTCTTCCAAAATGCAGCCACAGAAAGACAGAGTTGGTTTCTTCATAGCACCCTATCAGAGCTGGGCAAACAGTGAGGCAAGAGCCAGGCAGTGCCTCCCACAGCTGGAGGTGATGCAGGAACACCGGGATGCTCCTGCTTAGCTGCAGTGTGTGCCACACAGAGCAGCATCACCAAACTGGGACCGGGTTGCTGCCACTGCAGCAAACAGGAGCTGCTGGGTGGGGTGTGAAGGAGCCAGGAGGTGCAGCTCACTTCTCTGGCTGTTTTCAGACATACTAATTAACTGCTACAAAGCAAATGAGCAGTAATAGCTGCCACTCCACCTGTGCTGCCCTCAGCAGCCAACCTGACTTTTTTGACCCTGACAATCTGGAAGAATTCCACCAGAGAACTGAGATGTAATGCTTTTCCCCTTTGTTTTCTGTCCCACTAAGTACATTTTCATATGAAAATACATATAGTGAAATTGGGAATTTTTGCTCAGAGATGTGGGGAACCAACAGGGATTTCTAACTGTCATCGCCCTCAGCAATTGCAGCTACCAAGGCATCAGCAAAACAGCACAGGGATGTGCAGGCATTGGGACGTACTGAAGGTCCATCTGCTACTCATGAAGTGGTATTCAGAGGGTCACTGCTAAAGCCAGGGCACACTGAGACACGAAGAGAAGATTGAACTCACGTGGCCATGCCCAGCCCTGGCTGTGGGCACATCCCCAGAGCTCAGAAAGCAAGACAGGAAATAGAGAACAGCTCATGAGCAAACTGAGAAACGTGTTCCTGGCATAAACGGGCAGAATTCCATTAACTTTCAGTTCTGTGCACCGGCAAGAACTGAGCTGGATATCGACTCTGACCTAGTTGAAGTTCTTTACAGCAGCATCACTGTACTGTTAAAATATTGTCCTAAGAGCCATTTTTTGGTTGTTGCCTTCATTTTTTTTCACCCTAGAGAAAGCCAGTGGGGTAAACTTCTATTAAATGAATGTGAAAAATTGATGCCTTGTTCTAAGTGCACATTTATAAATATAACATCAAATCCAATGTCTCTTGGCAGCTTCTCTCCTGAAGAGCTCTGCCCTCCAAGCACTCCTGCCTTGCTGTAGGAATGGCTTTCCCTTCTCAGCCTCCGGGAACAGTCAAGCCACCTTCCAAAGACAGCCTGACAATGGTGAGATTTAGCTCTGTCATTGCAGCATGTCTGCAGCATTTACTTCTCCATATCCTGGTACTGAGCTGATCTGCTCATTATCAGATTGCTGTTTATTAATCAAAGCAGTAACAATGGGATGAAGAAGCTGGAATGCAGCACAGACAGTGCTTCATTTGTTCCAATTGATTTTACTATCACATTTTATTACTTCTATTTACCCTATGTGCCTCAGAAAGATTTAACTGCACTAAGGGTGCAGTAGGGGTACATGGTTGAATTTCTCCTCCTTTAAGCTCTTGCTATTTCTATTATGATAGTCAGAACTGTAGGCTCCCCCAGCAACTAAGTCATGACCTTCTCTGCTAGAAAACAGCGTATGGAGGTTTTCTGATAACTGAACTCCATTTGTGTACGAAGTCCTGCATGCGGAGTCCTAGGGAAGTCCATGAGGATCACACATACAGAGCCTGTCTGGAAGTTAGATTGCCAAGATGACGTTTTACAAATTCTCAGCACTGATCAAAACCAGAGCTATAGTTGAAGCAGCTATAGAAGGTGTAAGGAAAGAGTACACAGAACAGCATGTGCTTGGGCCAGGATGGTGCGGTGGTCTCAGGATGAGGTTTTGTCTTCAGTAAATGCAATAGAGATGATGATGCATGTATTTTCTTGCCTTTCCTAGCTCTTTTCTAATGTCTTAGATTGCCGTTCACAAGCTGGATCTTGCAGACTTCAGCCAGCACATCTACAGCATTAGGAACAGCAAATGATGACGGCCAGAAGGTAAGCAGTGCTTTATGGAAGGTGGGCTTGGGTCAACCAGAATACAAAAGGAGGCAGGTGCTGTGAGATAGCATTGATAATCTCCATTTCACAAACAAGTCTCACTGAGAAACAAAAGTAATTATTGAACTTTGTCTGAAAGGCCTATTAAAATGAGTGGTGAAGCTCCTATTTTTAGCACAACCAGGATTTCACTCTAGAGATTTGTGAGTGTTGTAACCATGCTGTGAACTTGCCCCATTCAGTGAGTACAACAGGAAACCCATGGTTGGCTGCACCTGTGGGCGTGAGATACAGTTGCGTGGGGAGGTGATGAGAAAATGTAACCAAAAAAAAAAAAAAAAAAAGCTTTGTTTTGTACATTATTTTTGTAATTAGCCCAATCCCGGGGTGAGGAGGCAGCTAGCAGGTGGTGGCATGTGTCATTAATGAAGCTCAGAACTGAAACCACAGATTGTCAGCTGAGCTGAAAGTTTCCATGGGCTCTTCACTCTTACTGGAAATGTGACAGTCCCTCACACAGGAATTTCTTTCTTACCACGTGCTCCATCTTGCCAAGATGCTGTTTGGTAATTTAAGTGAAGCACCTGTGCATGCACATGCAAACCCATCCGCATGCACATGTGCCCCATAGCACAGCTTGTGTCTGTTCCACATACAACATCACACTCTTTGGAACCTGCCACACGATGTCGGATAGAGCTGCTTTGTGCTGTCTGCTCCACCAGCAAAGCAGCTGCTCGAGTGCTACCAGCAGAAGGTGTGGGGTTTTAGGGCAGAAGATGCTGAGTGCCACAGCCCCGCTGTGAAGTGCACCCATACATACGCTTGTTATTTCTGCAGCAGTGTCTGAGCTGTGTGATTTTGAGCTGTCTGATGATTTCTTTATCCTCCTGCAGCCGATGACCTTGAGCTGCACAAATAATTATTTTCCTATTGCTTTTTTTTTTTTTAAAAAAAAAAACCCTATATTTATTTTTGAGCAGTAGTAGGGATAATTGAATGATTGCAAAACGTGCCACTAGGCCACTCGGGGTTAAGTGAAAACTCCAATAATGCCATCTGCAGGAACGTTTTTGGTCGCATTTAAGGTCTCTGTCAGATAAAGGGTTAGAAAATATCAGCCTGAGACTTTAGCATTGCAAATGGGTTTCTGCAGGCACAGCATGAGTGATGGGAGGGAGAAGAAGAGGGGGAAAGAACAGCCTGACACTGGTGTTGTGTTCAAGCTGGGCTAAATCCGGGCACCTGGGTGAGATTCAGTATTGATCAGAGTGGAAGCACAAGAGTATTTTGGTTAATCTGGCACTGCTTCACTTGTGCTGTATTCCCATTGTTATTGGAACCCGTGATTTACGGTGTTCAGCCTGGATCAAATTCAGCCGCTGTATTTCTTAAGATTATTTTTTCACCTTTTCTTGCTGAAGTGCATTTCTGGCAGAAGTTTTACAGCTTTCCAACAGAATCACGTCTCCCCCCAGTGGTGAAGTAAAACAGCTTCGGTTTCCAAAGTCAATTAGGTACTGTGGCTGTGTGTGAATGTGCATGACAATGCGCTTAGGTGTGAAATCAATTTGAGAATGACCCTTCGTTAGCAGCCACATCTTTTACAATGTTTTTTTTCAGTAGAACTCCCCTGCTCCTTCGAACATCCTCCCTTGTACAGATATCTCATGTTTATGCTCTTCCTTTTAACAAAATAATATTGAAATTCTCGCTCGATTTGCATGTTTTCTTATATGAACATTAGTAGTTTCTGTCCACTGATTCCACAGTTGTACAATAAAATACCTGGTTGAGTCCCATCTTCTCTTGATGTGAGGTAATGCCATGCTTTAGACATTCGGTAGAAAAATCCCTTTGGATTGAGCTGTTTTCAGTCCAGGAAAGACATGTTCAAGCCCTGGTCACCTCGTAACCGAAAGCCATATGACACAAGTGCATTGGGGTGAGGAGATATTGATTTACCTTCTGTAAAATAAATGTAAAGCCAAAAGCCAGAGCATTTTTCAGCACCTCTCCTGTCCTTCATGATTTGTGTGACCCTCACTGCATGCCCCACATCTCACAACTTCACTCTGCATCCCACATCTCCCCTACAGTCTCTGAATTGCAGATACATATTAAGAGTTGCAGGACTTGCGTGGCTGTGTTGTGAGCCATGAGCATTCCATTCCTCACCCAGTCTGTGTCCCTCACAGACCTTTCTCATTTTTGACCTTTCTCTTCACATTTCCATATCTGAGATACACTCTGTATCACTTTCTTAACCTGCCCATGCCTTACTGTAGCCCCTGTTGAAACTGCTGCATTAAAAAGGATATTAGAATAGTACAGTGATACCTCAGTCAGAGGAACAGAAAGAAACACAACAACATTTAAACCTGTATTTAGTGTTAATTATGCTTTTACTTCCAAGAGAGAATAAGCACACCATGCTGAGGTTGGAAAAGTCGCTCAGAAAGGGTTCCGAGTGATGGGATGTGATTAATTGATTAGAATATGTCAGCAGTGCCCGTAGTTCCCGTTCTGCTGATTTTGTGCCAAAACAATGGGCTGTGATGGCTTTAGAATCAGCTCAACAGTCCCCCTTCTTCTGAGCATCATAAATGAATTGCAGAAAACAGATTTGTGCCTTTTCTTTCTGAGCTCTTTCATCACCTGAACTGTGACAGAGAATGGTTTTCTTCGGTGTTCACTGTATCACAACCGTTTGCTAAAAAAATGAATATATTTTTGAAGATAAAATATCTTGTCTCTTCAGGAGAATGCATTCTCCTGCTTTCTTTGGGTTTCAGGCTGTGCTTTCCCTGTCACCCACAAATATTCACTGTATGTTTCTTCCTCCTTTTCTTCTAGCCAAGGTTATAAATTAAAATTCAATTTCATTAAAATTGTAAGTAATCACTCTCTGTCTCTCATTAGTAATGATTCGATGCAGGGGGATCCCGGCTGCTCCCACAACTGTAATTCAATTGAACTCACCAGCTCTTGTTCACAAATCGCTTGAGCTGCACTTTCTTCACGAATTTATGGCATCAGCACTGTCCAGAGGTTGAATTACAGCTGCAGGTTTGATCAGGGACTGCATTATTCTGCATCTAATCCTTGCATTCTGACAGCAGCGGGGGGAGCCCTGTTGTTTTACAGGAGCTGTGCATTGTTCTCCTGCTTTATGTCAGGGGCTGAACTGCCTTTGGGATCGGAGAACTGTCAGCCCAAAGCTACAAGCAAACAACAAGATCCAAATGACACGGTGCATAAATAACGAACACAAGGACAGGCAGAAGCCAGCACTCCTTTTCCTGCTCTCTCCTAGATTACTGGGATGGTGGCTGACCACACACTGTGCTCTTTCATCATCAGATGATATCTGAATGCAGCGATGCTATCTGAGCGCGATGTTGAAATAGCACTCCCAGCTCTTATCCAAAATGAGGAATGTTGATACACACTGAATGCTGATATTCACTGGTGGCACAAAATCACTTAAGCATTAATTAAACGTTCAGCCAGAGGCCGTGTTCATGCGTTTGCTCACACATAGGCCTTTCCTCTCAGGCAGCGATTGGCGACTGATGCATTCTTGGCAGCATGGGATGTCAGCAGATCCTGAGCAGCACACAGCAGGGCCTGAGCTGCTCACACAGAGGTCATACATCACCCACCAGCTGACAGCCAGGATTTTGCCTACTGCAAGGCGATGCATATCCCCAGCCCACCTGTCCCCCTGGTTTTAACCCTGGTGGAAAGCAGCAGCTTCATGTAGGGATGTAGTGTTGTCAAGTCTGGAACATGTGTCTCTCAGGTTGGAATTGATCATCATTGGCACTGCAGAGGCACGTGCCCTGACACATTTAACCTCTGGAACAGAAAAAGATAGTGGCATATTGCTTGTGTGAGTTCTTTCTGCTTTACAGAATCCATACTCAGGAGTTCCTGTGATACCAGGCTGAAGCTGGCATTTGTCAGTGTCTCGTACTCATTTAATTGAGCTCTACTGTTAAGTCATTAATGGCAATCACTTAATGTGTAGTAGTATAGAAGTTCACCCCTCTTTTGTTTCTTGTGGTTTCTACTAATTTTCTTTTCTTAGCATCAAAATCTGTCACTGGCTCTGCAAGAACCCTGAGAGGCAAATGAGAAGAGTGGAGCAATTCCGGCAGGTGTTCTAAAAACCTGCTTTCTTTGGAAACCGAATGTCCTTTCATTTCTTTATGCAACCTTGCCATTTGCCATACGCTCTGTTATCACAGATGTGACTCAGCACAGGACATGGGAGTGCTATGCCCACACATGGCAGCTCTGTATTTTTCTTTTCTTCATTAATTCCCTGCCACCCTGCTTGTGGTGATGCCCAGTTTGTTTCTCCTTCTCTGCTCTGAGAGGACAGGATACTTAATCTCCTCTAGGTGGACACTGAAACACTGTCTGAATGAAATGTGGATCACTCCACTGCTTGGCTCCTGGCAGCTCCTCTCTGCATTCCTTCCTCCCAGGTTTTGCATGATTTGCTCTCATCTCTTTAAAATGACAGAATCTCATCCTTCCCCACTTTTGGAGACTAATAATTCTTTAATTAGCTCGTAGTCACATTGGGGCGTGCTGTGAGTGTTTATCTTTTCATATTGTCTGAAAAACATGAATATTCAGAGACTAAAATGGATTGTTTGGATAAAGTCTTTGAAAGGATATTAAGCCAAAGGCTAGGATTTATTGCATTTGCTGTTCTTTTGGGACTTTTTTTTTCTGTTGTTGACAGGGACCTGCTTTTCATGTTAATGTCCATTTGGTAGCTGGGAGGAATAAAGAAACCTTGGGATCCCCCCCTTCCCCCGTTGAGAGAGCAATGAATAAACATGTCGCAGAAGCAAACAGGAATAACAGCCCAACGAATTAGCATGTGGAAGGCCTCTGTGTTTGATGCCCATCTGCAAAGTAAAGAACAAACAGGAGATATATGTGGATGCATGCATCTCTGTTTGCAGTGGCAATCTCTTTCAGATGGCAAACACTTACAACGAGTGCCAACGTTTTTGCACATCTTGAAAATATTTGTGTAAAAATGGAAAGAGAAATGATTGCCCATCTGCACTGTGCAGTGGGAAACGGTGATGCGGGCAGAATGCACAACATGTGGGAAGCACAGGAGCCAGGTGAGCGAGCTGAAGAAGCAAGATTTTCCTTCTTCAGGCCTTGAGAGACTCACTGAGTGATGTGGTGACAGCACGCTCAGATGCGCATCATTCTGCTTTTCCTTTGGAAACATCCTAGGCTGAGAAGTAGTGAATTCACTAAGAGGGCTTGGATGGCTCAACCTTCTAATGGGCTTCGGTGAATACTGTGGGCTCTGTTCTATTTATTCTTCCTAAAGTGTAGGTGTTAAGAAATATGAGGCTAGTAAGTGGGTGACACAGCATCTGCAAGCATCACCTCAGCAATTCCGGTTAGCAGGCAGCCTTGGAGTGGGATTGTAAAAACTGCATTATTTGTAACCTTTGCAGCAGCAGCATTTTTAAAAACAACTGTAACCAACAGCTTTCTTTAGACATGAAGAGAATAACTAAAGAGAACATCTGTTTTCCCTTTAGATGTGGAACTGCAATAGCAAGCCATGCATAAATTTTATTAAGGCTTGCTAATTTCCTCCGAGTTTGGGGAGCTACGTGTTACCCATGGAGATGTTTGGCTCTGCATCACCAGATGAAAAGTAATTTTAAAAACAATGCAGAAAGAAATGTGTGTAACTTGGCAGCAAACACGTTGTGCTCTTTTCTCAGGAAGCTCCACTTCAGTTGGCTTTGCATTCATACTTTTTGAGATTTTTTTGCCTTTTTCTACCTCCTAATATCACCTTGTTTTCCAGCAATTCCACAACAGACATCTAAACGAAACGAGCACCTGAGCTGGATATAATACATACTGCTTGGGTCTTCTGTACTCAAAATCAGAGGTCCAAACACTTTCAGAACTGAAGACTTGGGTCTGTGTTGTTTCCTAAGTGCCAGACTTCTGAGTACCCCACTCAGCTGGAACCCTGCTCTGCTCCCACAGGCCATTATGTGCCCTGTGAGGAAACACCTTCAAGCAGAATCTCACTTTCTGTTCTTCCTGAAGTCACAGAATCCAGATTATGCACCATCCCTATGTGGATACAGACAACCTCACACTGAGAACTCAGAGCCTGTGGACGCTTAGTAGGACATGACTGGAATTACACAGATTATGCCTTCTTGCATGAAATAAGTAGAAAAGTCACAGCATGGGTTAAAAATACGCTTGTCTTCTCTCAATAATTAATTGTTCAGGGATTAACATGAGGTTTTGTGTTTTGAAAGTAAACTAATCCACTCGTTGGCTGGTGTGTAATGAAGGAGAACAGGCTACTGTCAAGCAGGCTGAAAACAGTGAAAATTAACTACAAGTGCCACGACTCACATATTTTATGTATATGAGTAATGTATTCCCTGTGGGACAGAAGATGAAAATATCACACAGAAAAGAAAAACACAGTGGCTACAAATTTAATAAAACAAGCAATCATACTTAGCCTCAAAGCATAATTTGGCATTTTTACTGCCTGATGGTATCAAGGTGGGGCCAGTGCAAGAGAACTCATGCTTGTGAACTCACAAGAAGCACGACTTCACTTTTTACAGCCTGAGTGCAGAGCTAGCAAAAGGAAAGGAAAATGCAACTACAACCCAGAAAACACTGAATTAAAATGATTATAATTGGAAAGCACTGTTTGGTCACCCATTCTTCATCCAGCAATACCATGACAAGGCTGTTTGAGGGAGTCTCGTTCTTTGTCTTGCCCTGTTTTCAATGTCTTGGTGATGATGCTCAGAAGCTCAAAGAGTTTGTGCAAATCTGGGTCAAAAACATGGATGCATGGCCCAAACCACTGAATATTAAAACAGTGTTAAAAGGGACAAGGCAAACACTGAGATACAAATTCCCCATTAGGTGTATTTTTTTTTCTTAAGAGATCGCAGAAACACAGAATCAAGGAAGTTAGAAGGGACTTCTGGGGATCCCTCAGTCCCTATTAAGGCAGTTTACCTACAGCAGGTTACACAGGAAAGCATTCAGGTATGTTTTGAATATCTTCAGGGAAGCATACTTAATTTTCATTGACTTCATGGGAGTAAAGAATGCACACATTTTATCAGAGAACTGGGACTGCTGAAAAAGAGCAAATTACAATGGAGATCATAAAGAGTTGCAGAAAACATCCAGACAAGGTATCAGTACCTGCAGTAAAAGAAATCATATATTAGTCCTGAAAGGTTTCCACGTACTTAATGAGGTTGCTAGAAAATAGTTGATTTATTTAAAGTATTTTTGTTTCATTCCTCAACAGATCATCACTTATTTTCTCCCTCTCTACTTTTTTATTCCAGTGTGGGGAATGTGCGGAGAAGTGGTCATTGAAAAAGCCACATAAAACTTCTGAGGACACAGTGAGAACGTGGCTCTTTTAACATTACAAATCTACCAGCTTAGGTAAGGGCTTGAAGTGCATATAAACTCCCACACTTCCTCAGATACGCAGAGTCACGATCTCAACAGAATCTGCAGAAGCAAAAAATCATAAGCATAAATCTTTTTCAGATCTACAGGTGTTGCTATCTGAATGCACAACGAGCAATTCAAGGGCCCCAGCATCTTTTAACAAGCCAGGCTGAGCTGGGAGTACTGCCCTGTGGTAACAACAGTTCAATATTTTGACTCCAGCTGCTCACCCAGCACGGTGGTCAGAAAGGTGGGTGACTTATCAGCTCAGGTGTTTCCATTAGTGCATGCTTTATCTTGCTGTTAGCCTTAAGATTGCTGGTTTCTTGCGTAAACCCCAAAGTTTGAATTGCTTTAGAGCTAGCTCTGGTATTGTGCACGATGCTCTTCTGCAAGCTAGTAGGCATATCCTTACTATTGTTTTATTTGCTTCCCACTTTCGCTGAGCAAAATATTTCTCCTGGCAATGATGGTGTCTGATAGTGTTCAGGAAGACAACTGCCATGTCTCAGGTATGGGCAAACATTCTGTTTTGCAATACTTGTAGGGTCTGTTAGGTGCATTCTCAGTTGAAATGGTGGCAATACCTCCTTCACACCGTATCTCCTCCACTGATGTTGATAATACACATTCAGAGGGCAGAATGTAGTTTTTAAGGTATAAATCACAGCAGATTGGGTAAAGAGTCAGTCATTATCCAGGGAACTTGGGAGAAATTTGGGGTTGGTCAAGCTTCAAGACACTGAACAGATAGCTCTGCATGCTTTCAAGGGCTTCATCCATATAACCTGTCTGCACGTAGAAGCAAGTGGCATTTGAAACTGAGAGAAAGGTCCAAGGTCAGGCACCTCAGCCCTCCTCATCCACTGTGCTTGGTGCTGACGTTCATCAGGCCATGGCCTTCTCTGAGCTGTCTGCAAAGATCACAAAAAAAAAAAGAATGGGATGTACCTACTGGAGTTCAATGCTGAGGCTTCTTCCGTAACTTTTGTACATTTGCACAAGCTGCCCAGATGTCACGGCTGTCTGCAATAAGGTCTTTATGTACAAGCAGTCACTAGCTTCTCCAGTTCCCATAAAACTTTTCAGCTTTGATCTTCTACTGTTTGTTTTCAGGGCCAGGGGCACAGAAGTTCATGCTCCAGCCCTTTCCCAAGAGCTCCCCGTTTTTCTGCTCATTTTGCTTTGCAACCAACAGGGGAAATGGAAATCACGTTGCCCTCATTGCTTCTTTCTAGCCTCCGCTCCTCTATTTATTTCCATCTTTCAGTCTGCTTTTTCCTCTCCTAACATCTAGTGGAGTCAAAGCAGAAAGAGAAGGGGAATGAAAGGAGGAAACAGGGATGGGGGAAAGGAAAATAGAGTTGAAATAAGAAAAATATATACCTGTAAAACTGAGAAGTTAAGAGAAGGAATAGAAAAATGAAACATCACTATTATTTTATTCTGTTTTGTACCAATACCAATTATTTTCAATATAAGCCCAAAGATGGGAGATGAACCAGGAATCTTGAAACACGGAACTTGGCATATAATGGAGAAACAGAGAAGCTGAGCACAAACTTCTCTTCCAAGCTCTTATATGGGTGCTTACACCTGCTGCTTAGGCTCATAACAAAACAACTGCAGAAACTCAGCAGGGAGCACCATAGCATTTGTGAGGTTCGTCCCAGCCACTCAGCAGAGTGCTGCTGCAGCTCTGCAGTAGTAAACAGAATTATTTTGTCCTGGTAGCAACAACAGTGTTCCAGGGGAAAGAGGGAGTGGGGGCCCCTCTGACAATTAGATGTGAGCTATTGATGGCAGCTTTCACGGATGAGTGCACAGAGCTAAGGATGTATGGTAACTGATTTTTCTGATGAATTTATTGTATACTATAATTTCAGTCCCACTTACAGACAAAGCAGATCTACCATGGGAGCTGGGCTTCAGAGTTGTTTGAATTCTCTTTCAAAACCCTTTAGAACCTCAGAAGTCTGAAGAGGACCTCAAGCAGGGCGCAGACAAAGCTGGTGGGGCAGAGTAAGGAAGCTAATCAGAAACACCAATCTGAGAGCTTCACAGTCACAGAAGGCCTGATTTGCAGGCAGTTTAGCATCTGCAGATTCCAGCGGGAGTCCTGAGTGCTCAGCTGTTCCCAAATCAGGCCTATAGACAGGGGAGATCTGGGGGTTGATTTGCTCGCATTCTCCCAGCCTGACTGCTTTCCTATAGGGCAATGCCGACATCCAGCGGGTAGACTCGTGAATTACAGCAGTATTTTTACACAGCGTGAGCTGTTGCTGAGTCTCAATGCGGAATCCTGGCAAAGAGCCTTCTGATAGAAGTTCCTGTGCTGTGATGAGTGGCTCACGACTGAGAGCCCTGTGCTGTTCTTCCGACTCCTGCATTAACGTAAAGGAGATTTTAAGTCCTCTCTCTTAGTAAGAAGAAAAGGATTTGCTCTTTGTGGAAATGCTTGCAGCTCTGTAGCGACAGTCACTCTGACACTCACTTCCCAGAAGGGTTTTCTTTGCTTTGTTTGGTTCTAAACCTGTGATTTCCTGATCTTTTGCGGTATAATAATGCTTCTGAACAGCCCTAACATTCTATGAAGTCCCACTGCTCTGGTATTTTCCCTCAGTGCTGTATGACGACCACAGGCCCAGCACACTTCACTCCAGCACATGGTGAAGGCCTGGCAGGGCAGGACAGCTTCAGCTGGATCGGGAGTTTATGATATAAGTTATTTGAAGCAGATTCAAAAGCATAAAATCAGTGAGAGCCACAAGGTCCAGTAGAAACGAGGATATGTGCTGGGCTTCTGTCACTGCCTGCTAACCACAGGCCAGCCACTCACAATAGTGTTGTCTTTTTTCCTCCAATACCTGATCAGATAACAGGGGATTTTCGTTCACACGTGTACTTTGGCACTTTAATCCCTGCGAGTGACGCAATCTGACGTCACACCTCGACGTCACACCTCGCGGCTGCGGCCACGCCCCCCTGCTGCTCGCACAGCAGCGCAGGCCCCGCCCCCAGAAATCACACCGCTCCCGGTGCCCGCCCTCCTACCTCTGATTGGTTGGCCCTCAGCTCGCTCCGCCTTCCATCGGCCAGCTCCGCCCCTCCCCTCCCTGTTCCTCCCGGCGCTGCCCTCCCTGCTTTGCCCTGAGCCCCGTCGCTCATTTAACCCCGCCCTTCATGGCGGCTTGTCCAATCGAAAGCGCGGAGTTTTGAGCGACACTACCGCTACCCAATCAGACGCGGCTCCAGCGGGGGGTGGGGCCGAGCTGGCACCTCCTTCCGCAAGGCGGCGGCGGCGGCGCTCCCTGACTGTAGGGGCCGGGGGCTCCGCCGCGCCCCCGCCCCGTCGCGCCTCACCGGGACCGGAGGCGGTTGCCGCCGACCGAACCCGGACCCAGGCGCTCGTGGGCACTCTCCTTCCGCTCCCCGGCCTCGCGGCGCTTCCTTCAGCCCGGAGTCGGGCGGCGGAGCCCCCTCCCCGGGCAGGGCCTGCGGGCCGCGCCCCGCCGCCACCCCTCCCCCCGGCCGGCCGCACCCCGCCGCCTCCGAGCCGAGGGGAATGGGCGGTCCCGGCCCTTAGCCCCCGGCCGCTCCTCCTCCTGCCGGGTCCCGGCGTCTCGGCGGCCTCCGCCCGATGCTGGCGGAGCCGCCCGGGGTCTCGGCGGCTTCGTGAGCGCTCCCGTCGCGCGGCCGCCATGTCCGGCGTGGTGCGAACCCTGAGCCGCTGCCTGCTGCCGGCCGAGGCCACGGGCCGAGAGCAGCCGAGACGGGAGGGCAAGGAGCGGAGCCGCGATGCGGAGCGGGAGGCGAGGCGGAGAAGCCGGGAGATCGACGCGATGCTGGCCCGGGAACGGAGGGCCGTGAGGCGCCTGGTTAAAATCCTGCTGCTGGGAGCCGGGGAGAGCGGCAAGTCCACTTTCCTCAAACAGATGCGGATCATCCACGGCAGAGAGTTCGACCAGAAGGCGCTGTTGGAGTTCCGGGCCACCATCTACGAGAACATCCTCAAGGTGAGAGGCGGGAGGGGCACCGCAGGCTCACCCCGCTGTGACAGCCGGGCTCTGGGCGGCCGGCGGAGTTGGCGGTGCGTGCAGGTGCGTGCGGGGCGGAGGCCTTTGTGTGCCCGCTTGGCACTGCGGAAAACCTCGACGGAAAAGAAAAAAAGCCAACAAAAAAGGCTCAAGGAAAGTTCCCTGCGAAGGGGATTGAGGAAAGCTTGGTAGAAACGTGGAGAACGGGAATAGGTGTGGTCTGTGCTCTGGGAACAAACATTGTGAGAGCATCCCCTGAGTCCGAGCTGGAGGAATTTTATCGTGCAGAGATGTGAGGTTTCTATGCTGTGAGCCTCGGTTAGATGAGAAAGGGGTCCCTGGGCGTGTTGTGACTGCAAATAGCTGTGGTGTGGTTCGTTGTTAGGACTGGGGGTGCAGGTGGTTGGAGTTGGGCAGCATGAGGTGCCAGCCAGCACGGCTCTCTAACTTTGTTCTGGGATCTTTCTGAGCAAGTTTTGTTTGGTGCTTGTGCAGGTTCTGCTCTGGCAGGTTCCTTTAGTGGCTGGAGAATACCAAGGCTGCCGGTAGAGCCTACAAGTAGAGCCCTTGTTCTGCAATTAGGGGAAAACAACATTGACTAATTTCTGGGAACAGGCTTTGGTGCCCTGTGCAGGTAGAAGTTCTCATATTTCAGAAAAATGTGAAAGATTCATAAAACAGCTCATTCGGTAATGAGTCTCATTTCATCTTCATAAGTTCTCCAAAAGAACAGCTGCTTTCCTCTCTGTAGCTTTTCTGTAAGACCAACTCCATTCTTATGCGGACGTGGATTTGTGAAGCTCTGTCATATCTCACAGAAAACTTAAGTAAAGGGAGCTGTGTAAATGAAGGATAAAACAGTTACTTTTGAAATTTCAGATATGTTTTGAACGGTAGATACATACGTACCTAACTGCACACACACAGTGATTCTTGCTTTTAGAATCTCACTGTTCCATCAAGAACTTTTCCTTCTGTTGTTGAACAGGAAAACTATTGACTGATTCTCTTTTCCTTTACCTTTTTAGTCGGTTTCTGGAAGCACGCTGTGTGTTACGTGAGCATGCACACATACTACAGGACGTTTGGTGTTTTAGCTCTTTTTTTTTTTTTTCATTGAAGTTAGCTGAGCAAAAAAATTGGTACAAGTTATTAGCTCCACACCTAGAAATAAGGAGCCTCATCCTACAGGGCGTCGTGCTTGTTTTGGTGCTGTCAGGAAGAGACTTGTGAAAACAGAAGAACCTTAATGAGATTCTTCAAGTTGTTATAAGCAATAGTAATTTGAGCAAAATGTTACAATATTTTATATATACAGAATATAGAGAGTGTTCCACAGTAGTGTTCAGTGTGCTTAGAAGCATTCCCACCTTTTACTAGAGGAAGCTGCATTACATATTTGAGACACTTGTCTGCTGGATGGCTTTGGGCACATTTACAGAACTTGGAGTAGAATCCCGATCCTCAAGGTAGCAGTTTTGGTTTTCTGATTCCAAGACCAGTACTTACAATGTTTGATGGAATGTTGTCAGCTGATTGTGCTTTTCAGCCTCCTATTAATCAAAGAAAAGCTTAGAAGTATTTTTAAAGGGAGGTAATATGCTTTAATGGAACACCTTTTGGGCCTTGCAGATCATGGTTTGGGGGTGTTAGGTTGGGCTAACCTTGTAGCTACGCGTACAGCAGCTGTTTAACTCTTCCTTTTGTAGTTTCTACGGATGGCAGAGGTGGCTCTTGAGTAGCAACACAGTTTATTCTTCACCTATGCTTTTGGGGAATAGCTTGGGAACAGGCATTATGACAAGAGCATGTGGGAGGGAGAAGAGCAACCAGCAGAAACAGTTTTCTGATGAGGAGGTCTGAGGCTGGAGAAGGTAGTGAGTGTTCTGTTTCTCTTTTGCTAAACTGAAAGAGATGTGATAACACAGTGAAACAAGGCCATAATCTTCAGGAAAAGCCATATACCAAGGTGGGTATGTTGCAGGGCTTTTGAAACAGGCATTTTGACAGAGAAGTTTAGCTTAAGGCAACTGTATAAAACTTCCTTATATTGTTGTTATTTTTTTTTTCCAGTGAAAAAGCTTAAATAGTTCCCAGTGAATTAATTTTGCTGCTTTGACAATGTAGATTGTCAAGTGAATCTGATTGCTGTTCTTTCTGTAATGGTGTTTAGGCTAGGAGTTATTTCCCGTTTCAGGAAGTTCAGCCTAGAATGCTCATCCATTAACACTAAATGGAGTGGAGATCGCTGCGCATCCAACTTAAAAGGGAAGATGAATTCTCATAATACAATATGTGGACATCGTGAAATGGAAACGGTCGTGTAGAATAGCATAAAAATCTGTTTGACGTTGTGGAGTACAGCTGCAGCAGCCGTGCCCCTTTTTGCATTCAGTTCTCAGCATTGTCTCATAATGGTTCTGTTAAGCTTCTGCAGCACTGAGATCTGAGTTGGAAATGCAGTGTAAATCTCTGGGATTAAATGGTCAATTTTCGTTTTCCAACCGTGACTGAACTTCGCTCTGAAGGAAGGAGGATTACTGATCTCTCAGCAGCACTTGGTATTTCTGAAGTGCTTTTTGCAGGGCATTATGCAGCCTGCACAGCTTCTGGAAACCAAAGGAACTGGTTTGGAGAACAGAACCTGAAACCTCCCCGAAAATAATGGTGTGAAGTACGAACTGACGTTAGTGTCAGCTGCTTCTTTGTGCTGAGTTGTTAGCTTCTTGCTTTTTTCTGATATGTCTCTGATGTTGAGTTCTTTCCTTACCCTGTTCTCCCTGTTTCTCATCCCCCTCTTCGGGAAACCCTAGTTAGAAACAAAATGCTAAAACTAAGTAAATCTGTGATACAGCATTTACTTTTCCATTTAGTACAGGTGATAGTTCAGGGCCTCACTAGCTTTTTCTGGCATTTGTGGGCTGGTCTTCAAATACATTAGTTTTGCTTTGGTTTAAGGTAAATAGTCATCGGTTAACTAGGGTTTTGCTTGTTAATCGAGGCTAAGTTTCAAAGTAACTTTTTGAAGCTTTTTGATGATGGGAGTGAAAAGCAGCAGTGTTAATGCTGAGCTGTGAGTACACAGCCTGCACAGCTGAGCACACCCACTGGCAGGGGAAGGTTGGGCAGGGGAAGGTAGTGTGGGGCTGTGCTGCAGCATGGGCTGAGGCAGCTCCTGGTTGAACAGAGCCACTCAGAAAGCTGTTATGCACCCAAGGTTTCAAATGTAGGAAAGAAGTGGACAGTGGTGATGTAGGGGTGTTGTGGCAGTGCCTTCTAGCTGTAACTGGGGGAGCGAGCTTTCTGTACCCTTCAAAATAGCTGGGGTAGCCCTACTACTCTGTTTGCTGCCTTTGATAACAGCTAAAGAAGTCAGGGAGTTGATGAATCGTGGCTCTGATGTTCCTTGTCCAAATGTTTTTTTGTTTCAAGTATGAAAATATCACGCTGCTTGAAAAAGCCCAGCTTAGCTGCATAAGAAAATAATTAATCCACAAGCACCCGAGCAGCACTTGCAGAAGCATGTCTGGGAGATCCCAATCTGAAGGAGCGGGAGGGAAATTGGTTTATAAAAGCCTGAAGCATTGTCTGTTAAATTTTTTTTAATTTTTTTTTTCCCCTAATTTTGTTGGTTTCTGGGTTGAAATTGGGAAGGGCAGCTCAAAGCTTCATACATCCATCAGAGTTTTCTTGCTGTCTGTGGCCTGGATCACAACGACTGGCCACCAGATTGAGGAGCCCAGAGCTGCAGAGGGGACTGCTCAGGAAATGATGTGTGACTTCACTTGTGGGCCCTGCCTGGGGAAAACAACCCGAAGGTGGAAGCTCCCCGAGGGCAGACATAGGGTGCTTCTGAGCGTCACTGCAGGGGGTGCAGGCAAACCTGAGAGCGTGTTCCTCCACAGCTTGAGGCTGAGGGGCAGGAAGCTGGCTAAACGAGCAGCCCAAATGGAGCTCATTTTAAGAGATGGTTCGGGCTTCTGCAGCTGGTACTAAAACCTGCGCTGTTGCTGCTTCATTGTTTCAGGTGTGAGTGGCCTTACTGTTACCAAGTTACCATATGGAAACCTTTTTTTATTCTTGCGATTTTTAGTTCCAGTCAAGCACAGGCTCTGAGCAGTGGAAAAAGTATTGCATTTATACCGCTAATGCATTTCTCCTACCAGACTGCAACTGCAGGGCAGCTCTCTTTCCTCTGTGTGAATTCCTGTAACTCTTTAAACTGAGTGAACTCCATCTTTCCTTGGGTTTGCATGGAAATGAATTTGGTAGTCCGTTAGGAGGGGATGCTCATGGCATAGCTTGGTGCTTCGAGGTGGGAATCTGGCTGTACTGGAGCAGTTCATTGCAGGACACCCATCTCATCTCCACTGGGGCAGCATCTTGTGAAAGAATGCCAAGGAGAATACGTTGCAGGAACTGTGGCTAATTAGGAGCTTTTCCATTAAATTTAACATACAAGTGCTAAAGCTCCGTGTTAGAACTGGTATTTAAATCTGATTATCTTTGCTCTAAGCATTTACTGTTTGATGGTTATTTTAATAAGAAAAATAATATTCATAAAACTATTAATGGAAAAATAAAACCCCCAAACCTGGGAGTTGTCTCGGCCTTTTTGTTCCAGGTCCGTTTGGTCAGTGAAATACTTAATTTCCACTTTGTGTGTTTGGGATTTCTCTCATCTGAATTCCAACAGCTCTGGTGGTCTCTGCACATTTTAGGGTATCTTTTAATTGGGCTCAGAGAAAGCAATCTGTCTTCATCATGGTGGGCAGTGGAGAGGAGCAGTGGTCAATAGTAAGGATAAATATTCATTATTGCTCCAAAATAGAGCTTACAATGCTCTTGTGATGTAGTCATTAGTCTTGCAGAACATGAGTTGTCCCTGGAGACTGCAGACACATACTTTGATGTTTTCCAGACAAAACTTCAGTCGCTTGAGTGACTAAATTTGGGAGCTTGTGTTATATTCAGTTGTT